ATGACAAGTCTCAGATAAACCTTTGCTTCCCCAGAACTTTCAGCCATTGTGGTGCTTTTGGAACGATAGATGAGAGAAATAAGAGGCGTAGACACCAAGAGTCAAATAAGCAAAAGAATAAAGATAGTAACAGCCCTTTGAGCTTCCCCCTTTCTGTGGAGAGTCTTAACACTTATATTTAAATTTTTTAAAACGGTCTTTAAATCTGACATTGAATAACAAAAAAAAAGAAGCAAGCGTTTAAGCTTCCCCATGAGTGCAGTAGACTCGTAAACCAATACGTACTAACTAGAGTAGGATGTTTTTGTAGCCTTCATTTTAAATTTAGAAACCCCAAAAGCCTACTCTCAAATACAACCATTTGAGCTTCCACTTCACTGCAAGGCCAACATCTCGTATAATCACTTCTTTTTAGCCATCGTTTATAACAAAATGTTCAGATTAGCAATTTTGCTGCATTCTTTTTTCAAAAGTAAGAGCAATAATAATAGAAGGCAAAAAAACAAGTCAATGACTACTGAAAAGATGAAGCAAGCAGTTGAAGTTTTGGGGTTGAACAATATGTGAATATTTGCAGAATTTAAAATCAAGATGAACAATCATTAAATAGTGGGTTAATCAGTAGTGTCCAATATGAGTAGTGAAGTGAAACATATGCATTATATTGTATGTTTTTTTTTTTGCAAATCATACAAAACAAAACCAACTTAATTTCCACAGAAATGAATTGTGGAGCAAACAAAAGAACTACATGGGCTTAACACTTTCAGTGGGCCCTTAGCTCCCAGGAAAAGTCAGCCCGTCGAGTCTAACGACGACGCCGTTTTGGCGTGGAGCTCCCCTCCTCACGGAGCTATCAAACTGTTACGGTTGCTCGAAGAGGCTCAAGTAAAGTCTTCACTTCTCCGTTGCTTCTCTGTCGACCAGAAACAAAATGGTCACTCATCGCTTATTATTACCTTCCAGAATCATCATTTTCTCCCGCGCTAAAACCCCTCACACTCGTCTTAAACCTCTCAAAACCTTTACATCATCTGCACCAGCTCCCGAATCCCCATCCTCTTCCTGTTCGTATTCGGATTCGGACCCATACTTGGTGGATAAACTCTGTTTCAGTTTGGAGCAAGGTAACAACAAAACCTTTACTTCTCACCTGACTCAACTAAACCCTCTAACCGTCGTCGAGGTTTTACACCGTTGCCGCAACGATCTAACTCTATCCCAAACCTTCATCCATCAGTTAGCTCTAAACCTTCCCAATTTCAAACACACATCTTTATCCCTAAGCGCAATGATCCACATCCTCGTGAGGTGTGGAAGGCTCTCCGATGCACAGAGCTGCCTTCTCAGAATGATTAGAAGAAGCGGCGTTTCTAGAGCAGAGGTTGTTACCTCATTAGTTTCGACTTACACTAACTGCGCCTCCAACGATTCGGTTTTCGATTTGTTGATTAGGACTTACGTGCAAGCTAGAAAGCTAAGAGAAGCTCACGAGGCTTTTACATTGCTTAGAAGCAAAGGCTACACTGTCTCTATAGATGCTTGCAACGCTCTAATAGGTAGCTTGGTGAGGCTAGGGTGGGTTGAATTGGCTTGGGGTGTTTATCATGACGTTTCCAAGAGTGTTGGTGTTATTAATGTCTACACTCTCAATATCATGGTTAATGCCTTGTGCAAAGATGGTCAGATTGATAAAGTTGGAGCCTTTTTATCACATGTGCAAGAGAAGCTTGGAGTTTATCCTGATATTGTTACGTATAATACGTTGATAAGTGCTTACTCTAGTAAAGGTTTTATGGATGAGGCGTTTGAGTTGATGAATGCTATGCCGAGTAAAGGGTTTAGTCCTGGTGTTTATACTTATAACACTGTGATTAATGGTTTGTGTAAGCATCGGAAATACGAGAGAGCTAAGGAGGTTTTCGCTGAGATGTTGAGGTCTGGTTTGAGTCCTGACTCTACTACCTATAGATCATTGTTGATGGAGGCTTGTAAGAAGGGAGATGCGGTTGAAGTGGAAGAGATTTTTAGTGATATGAGATGTAGGGATGTTGTTCCGGATTTGGTTTGCTTTAGCTCGATTATGAGTCTTTTTGCGAGGAGTGGAGATCTCGACAAGGCGTTGGTGTATTTTAGCTTTTTGAAGGATGCTGGTCTGGTTCCTGACAATGTGATCTACACAGTTCTTATCCAAGGGTATTGTAAGAAAGGTATGATCTCTGAAGCTATGGATTTGAGAAATGAAATGCTGAGGCATGGTTGTTGTATGGATGTTGTTGCCTACAATACCATCTTGCACGGCTTATGCAAAAGGAAAATGTTGGGTGATGCTGATAAATTGTTTAAAGAGATGACCGAGAGGGGCTTGTTTCCAGACTCTTACACTATAACCATACTTATTGATGGGCACTGTAAGCTTGGGAACCTGCATAACGCGATGGAGCTTTTTAAGAAGATGAAAGAAAAGAGGATCAGACTCGATGTTGTGACATACAACACGCTGTTAGATGGGTTTGGTAAAGTAGGCGATATCGATTCAGCAAAAGAGATATGGACAGATATGGTATCAAGAGACATACAACCGACTCCAGTGTCGTACAGCATTCTGGTTAACGCGCTGTGCAGTAAAGGCCATCTCTCTGAAGCATTTCGAGTTTGGGATGAGATGATCAGTAAAAGTATAAAGCCAACGGTCATGATTTGTAATTCAATGATTAAGGGCTATTGCCGTTCTGGTAATGCCTCCGATGGAGAAAGCTTTTTGGACAAGATGGTCTCAGAAGGTTTTGTGCCGGATATCATCACTTACAACACATTGATATACGGTTATGTTAGAGAAGAAAATATGAGCAAAGCTTTTGGTTTGGTGAAGAAGATGGAGGAGAAGCAAGGAGGATTAGTGCCTGATGTCTTTACGTACAATTTCATCTTACATGGGTTTTGTAGACAAAATCAGATGAAAGAAGCTGAGGCTGTATTGAGGAAGATGATTGAGAGAGGTGTAAATCCTGACAAGTCAACGTATACTTGTCTGATCAATGGATTTGTTTCTCAAGATAACTTAACCGAGGCGTTTCGATTTCACGATGAGATGTTGCAGAGAGGATTCTCCCCTGATGATCAATTCTGATTCAGTTTCTTTGCAATCTTGCTCATTAACTGAGGAAGGGGACCACGGGAGACATACACATTCCATCGCTACTCTCCTGTCACATTCTTCTGAGTCAAGACGTGGAAATGACAGAGAAACATATGGCTGGAGGTGGCAACTGATTGTAGTTGCATTTTGTTGAGTCACAAAAAATTAATTGCTTTCTTTTTTTGGACAAACTCTTACTATACACTCACGTCTCCTCTTGTTCACAATTGAAAGAAAAAAGACAACTGCATTGAATTTGATCAATAATTCAAGATCTTAATTAATACATATTGTAAGATTCTTCTACATGTGAAAACTTATCTCACCAACGAACCTGCAACTAACAAACAAACAGAAGGACAAAAGAATTTACAAGACAAACAAAAAAGACATACAACATTCTAATGAAAACACCAAACTACTTATTGCCTTCTTCATCAACAACAGCTGCAGCTTTTATCACGACGATATCTGATTTTCCATTAGCACAATCCTCAGGAACCACAGCCACTGACCGCTGCCTGTTACCGCATATTGTCCAAAGGTATAACGCTAACATCGCTCCTAGACTTCCACAAACCGCACCTAGAACCAACGCACCAAGAATTCTCCAAATACATTTGCCTTTCCCCTTTACTTCCACCGTCTTCACATCCACCTCTTCAACAGTCTTGGAAACTGCGTTTGGATCAAGAGGCTGCGAGTGAATCCTCATCGAGGGATGTCTCAGCTTAAAGCTCCATGAATATAGATAATGTGGCTTGGAAGAGTTTCCATTTGCAGATGTCAAACCCACCATGAAGCTCTTTTCTTTCCATATTTTAGCCAAGTCTAGTGAGTAAGACACGAATGGATCTACAGGCTTTAAAGCAGTAGAAACACTCAAACGAACCTCTATTCTCTTTGAGCTTGCCTCGTAATCAATCCAACAATTCAATCTCTTCCCTCCATCGAAATGGCCATCAAAAGATGACAAGTTTCTAATTTTAGCAGATTCGGGTCTACCAACTAAGATCCCAACACGATTTCCTCTCTTGGAGATACCAAACTCAACAGCAACAATCTCCTTTTTCAATAAGAAACCTAGACCAGAGGAAGTGTTATCCTTTCTACCAAACAACTTAAGATCTAAACCACTTGGAACCATTACAAAAGCCAGGACACTCCCAATCTCTTCGGAAGACATCATGGAGAAGGAGAAACTAGTGGAGAACGATCCTGAAAAGTTTCTGTCTTTAGTACCTTCTTGGAAGAGTTTGATGGGTTTCTTGTAAAGGACTCTCCCTTGGCTCCGACTCACTGAGCCAGTCAGCTGAATCGAAGAACCACCACTAACGAGCTGAGAATCTCCAAACAGAGCAACGTTCTTGTCAAAGCTCGGAGATTTCACAGACCCATCAAAGGAAAACGAGGAATTTGCATCTGCAGTAGCTGCCATGGTTACGTAAATCTCGAAGCTGAAAACGAAGAGAAAAGCTAGGGTTTTGAAAACCGACATAGCTGAAATTGAAAATGGGAACTTTGAGGAATCTAGTAGAAAAGAGCTCTTTTTTCTTCTTTCTGCAGCTTCTAATGAATGGAATTTCTAGGTAGGATTCGTGAATGAATTTACAGTTTTCAAGAGTGTTGTGTGTGGATTTTGGTGAATGGGATTAAATAGAATTTAAAGTCTTCTTCTTCTTCTTCGGGAGATGAACTTAATGATTCGCTCTCTTTCTCTCTCGGTAGTTGCTGAGTAAGTGAAAATTCAATTAATGCTATCTCTGTTCTTATACCCTTTACTTCTTACTTCTCTCTTCCCTTGTCCCCATGTTCTAGATTGTGACATTTTGGCCCCCACTTCTTCTTCTCTTTTACTCCCTCCGTTTCATATTAAATGTCGTTGTAGAGAATTTTTTGCGTTACAAAATAAGTGTCGTTTTCGGTTTTCAATGCAAAATTTATTATTTTTATTATGTAATTTGTTTTTCTATTGGTTAAAATATGGTTAGGTGTATGGGTAACTGTGTTTTTATATAGGAAATATGTAAAATTAATTGTTTCTTTAATCCGTGTGCACAGCTGTAGAGTGACACTTATAATGAAACAGACTTATAATGAAACAGAGGGAGTAATAATTTCTTTCAATAATCAAATTGATCGGTAACAATGTAGGATTTAACAAATGGCCAAATCTTTGAAAAATCACAAAACAAAAGAAAATAATGCTGAATTTATGATTTTAAATCATTTTTCAGTCCACATTATAAATTGATGACAAGTTACAATTAGTTTAGATAGTGGATTTCATATCCTTTTTAAGATAGTGGAAATGTAATGATACTTTGTCCAGAAAATGTGGGGTTTGAGATAACAAAGGTGGAGTTTGTGTTGGCAAACAAAAAGATGGAATCTCATAATCTCTAATAAATGTGTTAATTAGTGGCATATTACCCCTGACAAATTGATTGTGCCTAGTCTGTTAAAATATGGGCCTAAATAAGCTAAATAATGTTATTCGTGGACCTAGTAAGACACAGGTATACTACTAATGGGCCTTAGTTCTAATCAATAATTTTCATGTGGCCCCGACCAGTTTCTTACAGATTACAGTCAAGTCCAGTAACAGCCATCTGTGACAACCAGCTTATTGGGAATGTGATAATCCATTTTATGGCTCGGCTTCAATTTGTTTATGACAAGTGCCAGCTTGATTCAGTTTTGCACTAAGTCAGTTTTAACCCAAATGATTTTAAAGAAATTTTGGTTTTAAATTTTTCATTTACTTTGGTTCAGTTATTCTGTCACCGGTTCATTCTTTCCATTTACAGAAAGTTTTTTTGCGGTCAAAACAATATTTTGTCTAACCTTATTGATATATTTTTGGAACAATCTAAACCTTATTGATAAAAGAGAAAAAAAAAACAGAAGCATGAGAGAAGTGAGTGGTGGCGTGAAAGAGAAGGATGATGAGACAGAGGCAAAGGCGGTGGTCCCAAAGCTCAGCCGCACTACGATACTCCGTTAATTCTGTCACGTGCCTCCCACGCGAGTATATTGTAATCTCCACCGTCAACCATGTTGACTTTAGCTACTTAGATGACCAAATCAACGGTTAGGAAAAAAAATTTCAGAAGCTTAATAACACGAAACACATGCCCTCAAATCACAAACAACAGGATGATACTTAGCGTGCGGATTAGTTATCAATCGAGTATTATCAGCTTAAAGCCTGTAATAATGTTTTATTTTTTTCTTTGTACAAAACAATTAAATAAATAAAAATAAAGCTGTCTTGTGAATAATGTTTTGAATCACTTTGGTCCACAGACAGAACAAAAAACATAGTCCCTCAGATCTTCTGACCCTTGATGTCTTTATTTGCTTTTTAAATCTCTTGATCCAAGAGTTCACGTTTACTTGTGACAGAAGTCTTGTAATGATACTATAGCAAAGTCTTGTCTTCACACTCTTTCTCTCTCTCTCTCAGATAAAAATGTCATCGTTCGAAATCTCTCACGTTGATTTAGAAAATGGTTCCGGCGATCGTTATTACCGTCGAAGTGACGTCAGCGAGATCGGAGAGGACAGCTCTTCCTGCGACTATGACTACGATTTTCACTCAGCTGTGAGAAGCTTTTGCGGCGAGTTCGAGTTTCCTGATTTGGAAGACCTCTCGGAATCAGAATCGGAATCCTCCAGAGTGTCCCCGGAGGAGAAAGATTGCAGGATATGCCATTTGGGATTAGAGAGTAGCCGCCGTGAATGTGGAGACCCAATGGTTCTTGGATGTTCTTGTAAAGATGACTTGGGTTATGTTCATAAGCAATGTGCCGAGACTTGGTTCAAGATCAAGGGTGACAAGTAAGCAAAAACTAAACCAACCAATGTTCATGTTTTTGATCTCACTCAATAAAAAACCACTCAACAAGTTCATGTTTCAGGACTTGCGAGATTTGTCGTTCGATAGCTTTAAACTTCTCTAAAGCTGGCAACGAGACTGATCAAACAACAATTGAAACCAATGTGGATGACGTGGAGGCCGGTAATTCATCGACGGTGGTGGCCACAATCGATTCAGATGACCGTAGATTCTGGAGAGGAAATAGATTCCTTAACTTCTTGTTAACATGTATGGTCTCTGCATTTGTAATATCATGGTTCTTTCACTTCAACTTACCTTCGCAACAATGAGGAAGAAGATTAAACATACATCCTCTGTGTGTTTTTCTTTTCTTTATTTCTTTTGCTTTGTGTGGAGTTTGATTCCTGTATTAGCTTTTTGCACGAGTGCAATCATATCAAACATTTGGAATACAAAATTAAAAAAGAAAAAAAGATTGCATAATTGAGTTGGATTGAAAAATATAAAAACAATCTGTATGGTTACATGTTTGTATTCATGTCTTTTATACAAGAATAAAATCGATGAGAGTGACACATGACAAATAAAGTTCTGGATAGGTTATAAGAAGTTTTATTTACACCATGTACAATATTGATTTCGATATTCAACACCTTTCATTTCAACTTTTGACATTCCATTTATTTATTTTCTTGTTTCTTCCATCCCATAATCCAACACACTATAATACTTTTACTTAATAAAATTTAACACTCTATTTTATGAATTAATAATTATTTTTCTATATTCAAATTAAATAAACATAATATCTATTTGTATAGAATTTAAATGATTTTTTTCCGTATAAAATATAAAAATAAATTATTTATAATGAGATAATTGATTTTAATAACGAAAAGAATATAGAAATATCAAAAATGTTTACAATGTGACATATATATCAGTAATCTCCGCTTTCTTTTTATTCAACACCAAATAATACACATACCAAATAATACACATGATCATATTTCATTTCTAAACACTTACATAATAGTGATTTAACGGTTGAATTTTTTATTCAACCCATTTTTGTTGTAACTAGTTTTAGAAATATCATCTATTTTTTTCTCATTTACTTCTTTTTATATATTTCAGTCAGGTACCTCCCTTGGAGGGGTTCTTCTCAGCTTCAAAGGGCAGAACCATGCCCAAAATGCTTCAATTCCGTTTCGAGTTTGATAAGACAAGCCGCTTGTAAGTAAAGAGCGATTGGCCATTTCAGTGAATGTAATTGCGCATGCATTGCGTTGCTTAGAGCTTCGCTGAACATTTCACTCTCATAAGGTAACACAGCCACCGTCTTGCCAGTACTGTTGGTGACAACAAAATTAGTAATTACCTTTTTAATATAGTGGGGAGAAAATGTCAAACATGTATTGTAATATCAAAGACATATGCTGCTTGCTTGTGGCATTAGGTCATCAATCATGCTTTCCTAATTATACATTAGCACCGATTACAATATCAGGAATATTTACTTTAAGAATATCAATCAATCCATTTATTTTTTTGGGTTAATCAAATCATGTGACATGTTTATATCTGAGTGTCTTGAGTTTCAAAATTCTGTAGACATTATTAAAGAAGACTAAAACCACACCGGACTGTTATAAAATCAAACTGGCAAGAAAAAAATGGGCCTAAATGGGCAAACATTTACATAAACTTTATCAGTGGCCCAATTGTTTCAGCGTAATGGGTCAGAAGTGTGTATATTTACTTTTTGGAAGATCGTCGCTATTTACTACATTTCAGATATATTTAACACTAAATGTCTAAACGTTTTCAATAAAAAAAATTATCATAGATAATCAAATTAAATTTTAATATATACTCTTATAAATCGGAATGTTACAATTATGTTCAGGTGTGCATGTACTTTTGGTTGAGACGGTTTTTATAGGAAATGAATAAGGCCAATGAAATAAGATGTGAATTAACTAGAAAGCAAAAAGTAAAGAGTTAGGATGGACATTCGATCATTTGGCTTTATTCAGAATATTGATGGACATTCGATCATTTGGCTTTATTCAAAATTTTAGGTCAAATATTACTCCTTCCATTCATATTAAATGTCATTGTAGTAAACTTTTTTGTTAAAAAATAAAAATCATTTTTCAATACAAAACTTATTAATTTTTATATTATAATTTATTTTTCTGTTAGTTAAAATATAATTAAATATATAGGTAACTATGTTTTGTATAAAAATATATAAATTACTTATTTTCTTAATTTGTGTGAAAAAAAAATGAACACTTAATATGAAACAGAAGTAGTATCTCTTATTATTTACTGTGAAATTTCTATCACTTTTTTACCAAAAAAAAAATCACTGAGTATTTGAATCAAATTGTTTGTTCCAAAACGAAATACATTAGTTATTTTTATTTAGAATCATATTATAACAATCTCAATGAGATTATATATATATATATATATATATGTTAAATATTAATATTTAAATATGGATTCTTAATTTTATAGGAAGCTTAATGGAAAGTATGTTTATTAATATATATTTTTAATTAAATATGAATATAAGTGAAGGGTTTTAAAAAAAAAAAAATCGGTGTAATAACTCCTTGTTGAAGTTGGTGTTTTAGGGTCCACAACCAAAGAGGGACGTATCGGAGATCTCGAGCTTCACAATTCCCTAGACAACCCATAAAATATAAATTAAGCTACCAAAAGAGGAGCAAGCTTTTAGACAGCTATGCAAAAGTGTCCAATAAAGTTTCGAGATTGCCAGTTTTCGCTAAATTATTAAGTCAAATGGTCATTTCTATAATGTTAAAAAAAACATATAGTCGTTTCTATAAATACGCATACGAATGTCTCACAGCTAGCGGAGACGTATTCATCTAGGCCTTACATCAACAATGCCTCTCCCAATCCAAGCTTTCTTTGTCCCTCTCCTCTTCTTCTCCTCCATTGCTTCAGCAGCTGTCGTCGAACATATCTTCCAGGTATTTGCTTTTATGGCATGCACTCTCCTATTTTTGTTATTCTCTATAAAAGAAATAATATTGTTGAAAATATATTTGTGAGTTATTTTATTGAACATATATTCTAGTCTCTTTCTTTATATAATGTGAAAAGCCACGCATTTCAGTGTCATTTTCAAAGAAAAAGATCATCATATTTGGCAGATCTGATATAAGTGACTAACCAAACCCAGGGTTTAGTATTCCCTCTATTTCAAATTATATGATATTTGCAAAAATTTTATTTCGTTTCCAAATATAAGATATTTTAAAGTTTTAAGATATATTTTGAAATTTTAAAGTTAGAATTAATTTTATTAGAAATTGTTTAACCAAGAAAATTTCACTGTTTTTTTTAATTGATTGAATGATTTTAAAATATACATTTTGAAGTGTTTTTAAAATGTAAAATTTTGAATCTTTGTATAATAAAGGAAAATATCATATATATTAAGAAATGGAGAGAGTATTATATTACTATTTCCGTATTTGGGTTCCTTTTGACTTTCTTTTTTTTTTTTTTTGTTAAAAGGCTTCCTTTTGACTTTCTAAATATAGTAAATGTAAAGAGACAACTTTACGTGCCACTCTTTAATATATGACGGGACAATATTAACGGGGTCTGACAATAGGTCAAAAACGTGGTGGTGAAACCGTTGTGCAAGGAGCAAAGGATACCTACTGTTAACGGAAGTCTTCCCGGTCCAGCGATAAACGTTAGAGAAGGCGACACTCTCGTGGTTCATGTTATCAACAACTCAACTTACAATATAACAATCCATTGGTAACATATTGCTCTCGATATTATATCACCAGACAATTAGTGTTTATTTTAATTTATCGTACGTACGTTCAAGAATTATCTATTTATGGCACAAACATATATATAGGCATGGAGTGTTTCAGCTGAAGAGCTCATGGATGGACGGTGTGAATATGATAACTCAATGTCCGATTCAACCACGTAATAACTTCACGTATCGATTTGATATCACCGGACAGGAAGGTACACTGTTATGGCATGCACATGTCGTTAATCTACGCGCCACTCTTCACGGGGCTCTAATCATCCGTCCCCGATCAGGCCGTCCTTATCCGTTTTCTAAACCCTACAAAGAAGTTCCTCTAGTTTTTGGTGAGCATTCTTTTCTAAAGCCACGACTATCAAGAAGCAAAACCGGAAATATCAAAAAGAGTTTATATTTCAGAATGAATTCAATTTATTTAAAGTTTCTAAATATATTCTTATTTTTAATTCTTCTTTTTGACTTTTTGACATTTTTATTTTTATTTCTCCTTGGACTGATAGTATGGGATAAAATAAAATGAATATGGAGCAAGTGTCAGAAAAATTAGTTGAGGCTATGGTCATGAACTTTGTATTTACAATTAATAAATATAAATAATATAAAACATTTATTGTATTTTTTTCAAGTTGGTACTTTTTGGGTTAATGTTAGAAGTATGAATATGACTAAGGTCGGTATGGGTTCAAATACAAGAGCATATAATACTTATCTTTTAAGCTACCCCAAATATTTTATAAGAAAAAAAAGTTGTCGTAGTTAACAAATACTTACGTTAGAAGGATGAAGTACGAAGTACGTTTTCAGTTCAAAAAAAAAAAAAAAAAAGGATGAAGTACGAACATATATATATATATATATTATCCCGTTATTAAAACTATTAATTAATTTGTTTGGTAAAAATATTGTGCAAGAACAATGGTGGGACGCAGATATTGAACTTCTTAATTCACGGCCAGCTCCGATTTCAGATGCGTACCTCATCAATGGCCTCGCTGGAGATTCATATCCTTGCTCTAAGAACAGTAAATAATACTCATTCTTTACGTACATCAAAATTTAAATAAAAAATTCCTTTTTTTAAATACATTTTTTTCCGGCTTCCATAGGGATGTTTAAGCTCAGGGTAGTACAAGGGAAAACATACTTGCTAAGGATTATAAACGCGGCGCTCAACACTCACCTCTTCTTCAAAATAGCCAGTCACAACGTGACAGTCGTCTCAGTAGATGCTGTCTACACGACACCTTACGTTAGCGATGTGATGATCTTGACGCCGGGACAAACCGTCGACGCACTTCTCACGGCCGACCAGCCCATCGGAACGTACTACATGTCGATAAGCCCTTACACTGGTGCCAACTCGATAGTACCGGTACCCCCTAGCAATCCTACTCAAAGCCTAATCATCTACGAGGGTGCTAAGTCGACACCATCCCCATCAAGCCCGTTGATGCCTTCAGGGAGGAATGCAATATCCACGGCTCATAGATTCTCCTCGAACATCACTAGCCTCGAGGGTGGACCCTACTGGACGCCAGTGCCTCGCCACGTGGATGAGAAGATGTTCGTAACCATGGGGCTTGGCTTAAACCCATGCCCTCCGGGAACCAAGTGTATTGGTCCGTTTGGTCAGGTGTACGCTGGTTCTCTCAACAACCGTAGTTTTGTGATCCCAAGAACGATCTCACTCCAAGAAGCTTATTTCTATAATATTAGTGGAGTATACACCGATGACTTCCCCAGCCAACCTCCCATGAAATTTGACTATGCTAATTTTAGAGTCCGCACTAACTCTGAATACAAAATGATGTTTCCTGAGAGGAGGACTAGCGTCAAGACACTTAAATATAATTCTACGGTCGAGATCATTGTGCAGAACACAGGGATAATCAGCGCAGAGAGCCATCCCATGCACCTTCACGGTTTCAACTTTTATGTGTTGGGTTATGGATTTGGTAACTATGATCGGATCCGCGATGCAAGAAAGCTAAACCTAGTTAACCCTCAAATGCACAATACTGTCGGTGTACCACCAGGTGGATGGGTTGTTTTAAGATTTATCGCCAATAATCCTGGTAAGAAAACATTTTATTTTTATTTTCACCCCCAAAAATAATAATATATTAGTTTGAATTCTGATGTTATATTTTTTTTTTATGTAGGTGCATGGATGTTTCATTGTCACATGGATGCACATTTACCTTACGGAATTATAATGGTTTTCGTAGTTCAAAATGGACCAACTCCGAACACAAGGTTGCAACCTCCACCCTCGAATCTTCCACAATGCACTCGTGATCCAACGATCTATGAGTCGCCGACGAGTAACAACGTTGATTTGTTCTACTAGAAGTAGCTGAATGTGATCTTCTCTAAAAGTAACTATCAATCGTAGTTGCTTCTTCAGATAAATTTTGTATTTTTATTGATTGGTGGTATCGAGGTTTTTTGCTAAAAAAAAGAACTTAATAATCTGGGAGACTTGTTTTTAAATTTGAGTGTTTGGTAATTGGAGTTGATAGATGTTTTCAAGCATTTTTAGTAGGTACGGGCGTCTCTTAACTGTTTGGTTGTAGGATAAAATCTTTACTTGGGAAGACAGGTTATTGTTTTCTCTGACATTATTTCAAACTCACATTAAGAGCTGCATGTAGTTGATGGTGATTGGTGACTTTGAAATATACTCTCTCTATATATATATATATATATTCACACAAAAAAAAAAAAGTTTAAAAGAAAGAAAGATAGATCATTAGATACTCCCTCCTCTTCTGGCTTGTAGGTTTTAGACTCTACCAACGGGTGACAGAGGCGGAGCAAACGGGGAGGAAGATTTTCCAGTAGTCTTTGACACCTTTTCTTCCTCGGAGGCACACGATACAACCGTCACACACACAAAAAACGCTTGCAAATGCGACAGAAACGAATCAAACTCCACCCTATAGATCCCACTCTTCAGCTCTGTCATCGCCAAAACTGGACCCCTCGAGTCTTGATCACTTTCTTCCTGCAAACCAAACCCCCGATTACTCTTTTTTTTTCCAAGAACTATTCGAAAAGACTTATGTTCATGATTACTTTTACCTGAGCGAAAAGTTTGAAGCTCTGATGATGATCCAACTCGTGGAGGAGTGTTGTTTTGTTGGAGAGGTAGACAAAGAGTTTACATCCCACATCCCAGCCACCGCAATCGCATAACCCTCCCGATCTCCACCGGCTAACCAATGGTGTCGGTGCTCCTTTCTCCGGTATACTGTGAACTCCTCCTGGAATTATCACAGTGGTTTCTCCGTTTTCTCCTGCATGCTTCTTCTTGATCACTACTGCTGCAACCTCTTTGACTTGCTCTGTTTCATCAAGGAGTACTGCTTCTCTGATGATAGAAGATACTTTTTCGGATTTCTGCTCTTCTGTTATATCTGAGTTGCATAACCGCATTTGACCTATCACATTGTAGACGAACCCGCGTTGTTGTTGTTGTTTCTCTTTGTGTCCATGGATAAGCCAGCTTCCTCCCCTTCTTTTCTTTTTGACTTCATTAACAGAGTAGAATGTGCAGTACTGAACAGTATCATCTTTGAACGATGAAGCCGCAGAGTTTTTCATTGTAGCCCCGAGAATGCTCCTCCTGCTGTTGTTGAGGTTGTCATCATCGACCACAAATTGAAACAGAGGGATGCCGTTTCTGGTGGTTAGCTGAAAAAGAGCTTGGGTTCTCGATCTATCCTGCTTCTTCTTTTCATCTTGAAGTGGTACGTCTATGATGGTTGGCTTTAGATTGGAAGAAGTTGATCTTGCTTTTGATGGAAGAACATTCTCAGAGCCTTTGGATTTGAGTAAAGGGTGGTCAAGAAGCCTTCTTAGAGGGCTGACTCGAGATGATCCACAGTGCTTCTCCTCCGGGTGGTTACCTGACTGAGATGGACAAGCTGAAGCAGCATCACATCTCATAGAGTCAGATTTGTTGATGGTATCATCAGTAGAAGAAGAAGGCAAAGGTTGGGGAGCTGATGATGAATCCTCTTTGAAGGTGAAACTTCTGCTGAGACGACCGAAGCTAAAACTAAACCGCTTGCTTGGTGAAGTATTTCTCTTCTTTTCTTGATCAAATATCCTCGAAGCTGTCTTTGAATGCCTTGTTGTCCCACCAAGAGGCAACATCATAGCTTCAGAATCTCTCTCCAAGTCGAAAGAGAGAGGAACTTGAGATGTCACTCCTAAAGAGCTAACCTCTGTCACTTTCACGTTATCATCCAGTGAAGACTTATGGGAGGGTTCACCAGAAGATTGTTTTCTTGATCGAAGGAGAACAATATTGCTGACCTGATGATTCTCCTCTCCATCTAAGTTACTATTAGCACATTGATTCCCTCTTTCTCTTGCTCTCTTCTCATACTCCTTTGCAGCTAGGGATCCTCCGGAGTTCCCCATCTCTGGAAATAAACCTGACTTAGTGTATCCTCTGCCCTTACGAGAGGACTTATTATTAAAGCTGCAAGTTGCTATTTCCTGATTAAATAATAATGAATCCCTAGAAGCAATAAACTCAGGATCCAAAGTGCAAGGAAGTGTGTGAGAAGAATGTTGAAGACCCCGAGAAGTCGCTTTAACTTTACCAAGAAGAGAAGAAGCATGCACTTGGTCATCAATCTTACACCTATGACACTGATATTGATGAGAGGAGGAGGCGTTGGGAACAACAGTTCCGAAAGTAGTAGTAGAAGACACTACTTTGCTCTCACGTTTGCTTGGTCTTACAGTGGCTCGACCATGCTTCTTCCATTTCTCAAGACGACCCCAATCCAACACTCCAACATTCAAAACATCATTGCTTTCTTCTCCTTGGAGATAACCTGGCAACTTTGACATGTATTTCACCACCTCATCATCAGTACTGTGCTCAAAACTCTCATTGACACGTTCTTCCTTTCGAGTATGGCTACGACGTTTTGATCTAAGTGGAATCTCTGAGGTGTTTTGGCCTCTGAGATGGGTTCTTGCACCCATTTGCATCTACAGAAAACACACACAGTTTGAGTTTTATCTCCACTAATCAAAAATATTGCACAGTGAGTATTGTAGACATATTGTCTCAATAAACTTAAAATTCACCAAAGATTTGGATAATAACACCCACACAATGTGTATACTAATTCAATTCAACTAAAAAATGTATCCAAAGCAATGATCTCGAAGCAAACATTCTGTTTTACAATGGAAGAAACAATAATACATGTTTTAGCTCTCCTATTTTCCCGGGAAAGAAAGAGAACATACCAAAGCACATGAATCTATAAATCAACCAACTCGATTTTGGTAGCTGCTGATATCGTCTGGAAGAAGAACCAAACAAAAAAAAAGAAAGATACAGCTGAATAAAGAAAAGCAAAAGGGAACAACGTGAAGTGGAAGCAAAATCAATACCAAGAAGCACAGTCTTCCATTAGCGGAAACCAATAAAGTTTTGTGATCCAAGGGGAGGGACTCCTTGAGAAAGAGGAAGGAAGGAATATGAAGTTGCAGAGAATCTCTTGCCTCCACAGAGTAAGACGAAGAAAGACAGAGAGAGAGCTGGCTTCGTGTCTAGATCGTACGGTCAAGATTAATATTTAATAAAGGAGGTAGAGCGATCGTATGGTCCAAAGTTTAGTAGGTCGGGTCCCATTAAGAGACCTTCCGTTTTTTTTTGTAGAGCGAAACGGAACGGACCCACCCGTAGGCTAACGTCAGACGCATATCTATGATTTACCTGATTTTTCCCTTTCTTTATTATTTGTCCGTTACTGCTTTACAAGGGTTTTTTTTTTCTTTTGATCAAATTGCTTTACAAGGTTTTCAATCATTTTTCGTAAATATGTGATCACCCAGCTAAAATCAACCAATTATATGTTTAATATAAGGTTTATTATTATTTTTTCCTGTTTCAATCATATGACAGTTTTTAAAGTAAACTTTTTTGTTTTATTTTGCACATGTTATAACAAAACTGTTTTTTTTTTGTTTTTGCATGAGGAGTCTATTATATCTTGATTTTTGACTAAAGAGTAGTGATCCAATAAGATATGCTTATGTCGTTAATAAAGCAAAACGGACTCTCTACTTTTCCTTCTTCTCTCCTCATTTCATGATTGCATGTAAACTAAGCTCTTCTACGTATTTTGGCTATAAATACATGAGTTAAACCTACATTAGTATATCCTATATATGTAACTTGTAAATTATGTTGATATTATTTTTATTTTATTTTACTTATCTAACGTTTTTGAAAATACCATCATATCTAATGTTATCTAATATGGGTTGGTTTCTTATAAATATCATTCGATTTTACAATCTTTCCATCCCGCCTATGTTAGAATTTCACTATATAAAACAAAAACACTCATAAGCTGCATGATAAAAAATGTTACATACTTGAATTCTGTCTTGGAAAATCTAGATATAGTTTTGAAGCTGGGGAATTAACTTTGAGTCTTCCACTTCTCTCATTCTTTTTTTGAAGATATCACTTTCACGTGACGGTTATTGAAGCAAATTCATCGACCTTTATGCAGTCGACAGATAACATTGAACTTGACCTCTCAAATATTCCTTTTGTTTCGAATTAGTTGTTTAAGTATTTTTTAAACAACATGAAAGATGGTAAGTAGTAGATATAGTATTTAACGGAAAATTCAGCTTTTTCATAGGGGTTATCCCACATATTTCATGAAAAATTATAAAAAATGGAATTTTTGTTTTAATGCATAGCTGCATCATACACCGACATAGTATCAATATTAAATAGGTTTGAGACCTTAAATGTTTTCTTTTCTCCAGAAAAATAGGATTTTTATTGGGGTTAATCCACATATTAAGTGGTATATCAATGTTAAATAAATTAATCACTGGAAATTTTAAAATGATTCGCATGTACCATAAACATAAGTTTAGCAAACATATATAAAAATTGGGAGAGGGTTTAAGTATTTTTTAAACAACATGAAAGATGGTAAATAGTAGATATAGTATTTAACGGAAAATTCATCTTTTTCATAGGGGTTAGCCCACATATTTAATGAAAAATTATAAAAAATGGAATTTTTGTTTTAATGCATAGCTGCATCATAAACCTACATAGTATGAATATTAAATAGGTTTGATACCTTAAATGTTTTCGTTTCTCCAGAAAATAAGATTTTTATTGGGGTTAATCCACATATTAAGTGGTATATCAATGTTAAATAAATTAATCAATGGGAAAATTTGAAATGATTCGCATGTACCATAAACATAAGTTTAGCAAACATATATAAAAATTGGGAGTGAGTTTAAGTATTTTTTAAACAACAGGAAAGATGGTAAATAGTAGATATAATATTTAACGGAAAATTCAGCTTTTTCATAAAGGTTAGCCCACATATTTCATGAAAAATTATAAAAAATTGAATTTTTGTTTTAATGCATAGCTGCATCATACACCTACATAGTATTAATATTAAATAGGTTTGAGACCTTAAATGTTTTCGTTTCTCTAGAAAATAAGATTTTTATTGGGGTTAATCCACATATTAAGTGGTATTTGAATGTTTAATAAATTAATCATTGGAAAAATTAAAATGATTCACATGTACCATAAAGATAAGTTTAGAATATATGTAAAAAAATTTGGAGTGCGTTTAGGTATTTTTTAAACAACACGAAAGATGGTAAATAGTAGATGTAGTATTTAACGGAAAATTCAGCTTTTTCATAGGGGTTATCCCACATATTTCATGAAAAATTATAAAANATTTTTATTGGGGTTAATCCACATATTAAGTGGTATTTGAATGTTAAATAAATTAATCATTGGAAAAATTAAAATGATTCACATGTACCATAAAGATAAGTTTAGAATATATGTAAAAAAATTTGGAGTGCGTTTAGGTATTTTTTAAACAACACGAAAGATGGTAAATAGTAGATGTAGTATTTAACGGAAAATTCAGTTTTTTCATAGTGGTTAGCCCACATATTTCATGAAAAACTATAAAAAAGGAATTTTTGTTTTAATGCATAGCTGCATCATACACCTACAATAGTATGAATATTAAATAGGTTTGAGACCTTAAATGTTTTCGTTTCTCCAGAATATATGATTTTTATTGGGGTTAATCCACATATTAAGTAGTATATGAATGTTAAATAAATTATTCATTGGAAAATTTGAAATGATTCACATGTACCATAAAGATAAGTTTATAAAATATATAAAAATTTCGAGTGGGTTTAGATAATTTTTTAAACAACACGAAAGATGGTAAATAGTAGATGTTGTATTTAACGGAAAATTCAGTTTTTTCATAGGGGTTAGCCCACATATTTCAAGAAAAAATATAAGAATTTGAATGTTTGTTTTAATGCATAGCTGCATCATACACCTAGAAAATATGAATATTAAATAGGTTTGAGACGTTAAATGTTTTCGTTTCTCCAGAAAATAGAATTTTTATTGGAATTAATCCACATATTAAGTGGTATATCAATGTTAAATAAATTAATCACTGGAAATTTTAAAATGATTCACATGTACCATAAAGATAAGTTTAGAAAATATATATAAAAATTGGGAGTGGGTTTAAGTATTTTTTAAACAACATGAACGATGGTAAATAGTAGATATAGTATTTAACGGAAAATTCAGCTTTTTTCATAGGGGTTAGCCCACATATTTCAAGAAAAATTATAAAAAATGGAATTTTTATTTTAATGCATAGCTGCATCATACACCTACATAGTATGAATATTAAATAGGTTTGATACCTTAAATGTTTTCATTTCTCCAGAAAATAAGATTTTTATTGGGGTTAATCCACATATTAAGTGGTATTTGAATGTTAAATAAATTAATCATTGGAAAAAATAAAATGATTCACATGTACCATAAAGATAAGTTTAGAAGATATGTAAAAAAATTTGGAGTGCGTTTAGGTATTTTTTAAACAACACGAAATATGGTAAATAGTAGATGTAGTATTTAACGGAAAATTCAGCTTTTTCATAGTGGTTAGCCCACATATTTCATGAAAAACTAAAAAAAAATGGAATTTTTGTTTTAATGC